TACGATAGGAGGTATGAAGTCAACACAAAAGGCTGGTTCAAAATTTAAACAATGAATTTTGAACTTCTAATGATACCACTGCATTGAAAGATGGAATAACTGTAACAACTAGGAAGAAAAGGACTGTTCTAAACTGTTCAGGACAAAATATGAGCATTTTGCATTTGATTCTGAATTTTTTTTTTTTTTGCAAATCAGGAAAAAATGAAGAGGCGAATCCGAGAACCAACAAATTAAATTGGTGTGGCCTTACAAAATATTGGCATATACTAGTAAATAATCACATGACAGGAAACAGTGCGTCTGGACTGGGTGCTCTTTTATAACAGATTCTATGCTTGGCAGACAGGAAAACGGTGATTTTAGAGAGAAGAATTGGTAAGTTCTACTTTCCCAGGCTCTCCCTCACGCTCTCAATGAAATGATGTCATCCTTGACACCCACCTTCAGTTGGCTCCCTTAGTTCTGAGAAGGATAGAAGTTCAGGGCATCTTAGTTTGTTAGTCAAGAACTGTGCCTGGGTTAAGGCAAGGTAAGGCTGACTTTCATGGGAAATGGAAAGAGCCATCAAACCACCAATCAAATTCTTTTGTTTTCCTCTGATTACCTGCATTAGTGCAGGTAAATTAAAAACTTACCTGCACCAGACAAGTATTACCTATATCATTCAATCAAGTTCTTTTGTCTTCTTCTGGGTATCTTACTTTTTTGTCTACAGGGCTTGAAATACTATTTTCTGCATACAAAAAAATCTGCACTGGTGCAGGTAATATTGAAAATTACCTGCACCAGACACATATAACAATCTGCACTGCCCCAATTTTACCTGCACTAAGGTCCATTTCAAGCCTTAGGAATGCATTTTCCAGGTATTTATAGGCTTATGATCGATGTACTTTTCAAGGGGCTGTCAAAATGTCTCCAAAGACACAGAATAAAGACTCTTTTTACACAACCAAGTGTTTTATTCAGCTGACATTTCAGTGACTGTCTGTCACCTTCCCTGACTATTCACAGGTCTTCTAAGACAGTAACTAACTCCTCTGACCATAAAATACAGCTCTATCTACTAAGAAAAGCCACAACACGACACTCACCTTCTGTAGGTTCTCTGAAATCGTCTACGGGGCCTCTGCCCCCGCCGCGGCCGCCTCGGAAGTTCCCGCCGCCGCCGTACCTCTGCCCGCGGTCCATGCCTCCGGGCCTGTCGTCGTAACCACCTCGGCCACCCCCCTCTCTGCCGTAATCTGAACACAACATGGGCAAATAGTTCATGTCATGCGTGTGTGAATGTTTTTCATCCAGACCTGGAATATAATATATGTAGATCTTGATAAATCTGTACAACTGGGTTGATACAAAGTTTTATTGTATGTTTCTATCACTATCCAGTGATGACTATCAAGAGATCACTATTCAGTAATGACTATCCAGTGGTCTTCACTATAAAGTTTGCTGGATAGTGATCGAAACGTCTAACAAAACCTTATGGAAATATCTACCCAGTTGTTCAAACTTATAAAGATCTGTACATTTTATGTCAGGGTTATTCCTTAAATACTGCATCATGAAAGTTCATCATGTTTAAATGTGTTTTAGTGTGAGTGAGTGATTGAGTGAGAACATTTTCCTTTGTGTTGGAGCAAAAGTTTTAACTTTAAACTGTAGCCTATTCAATTATTTACATGAACTGAAGAAACCTCAAAGCTCATTTTAAAGCTTAAAGGATTTCAAAGCTCAAACCTCGTCTATCCCCCCCACCATATCTTTGCTGCTGGCCGCCGCCGTATGAAGAGAATCCTCCTCCCCTGGGGGGGCCACCGCCGCCGCGACCGAAACCGCCGCCGCGACCGCCCCTGCCACGGTCTCCGCCCTTGTCCTTCTGACGGGACTGTGCAACATCCACACGCAGGTTACGGTCGTCGAAGAGCTGAGGGTGGAGAAGATTTTTTGTTTTGTTAACAGTATATACTGACCTCCCTGAATAGTTTCAGCAGAACGTTGGCAGAACGTACTACACCTGCGCGAAATACCGAATGTATTGTACTTCGACAGAACGTCTCGTGTAAGGTTGTATTCGCGAATCTAAGGTTAACATCCCGTCTGTAGTTTCCAAATGTTAGGTTGGAAAAGGTATTGTCTGCAACAGGCAAAATTCTGATGCCACATTGACCAAACATCCAACGAAAACCATCAAAAATCAGGGCATTGCATATGTGCAGGACGTTCTGGTGATGTGCTACTTTCAGCAGGTTGGTAAGTTACTGAGTGAAGAGACTCTTTTTACATTGCAGATACTGTTCCCTGTAACTGTAGATGTGCAAATATTTTCCAATATCTTGAGATACTCTAACCTAACATGGTATTTAATGTTGACTCAAGAGTTTAGAAATTAGGGAGACTTGCAAAAGATACTACTACTAGTGTATCATGATCCCAATTTGTTAGCAATATGCCAATAACATGTACAGACTTGTATACTATCTATATGTCCTATGAAGTACGTACATCTAAAATTGTGGCTTCATGGTCTAAGCAGAAACTAAACTAAACTCTATCAGAGTACAAACAACATTGGTGGGAAGCTTGCCAGGTGTGACCTTTGACCTGACCTCGCCAAGCCCACAGGGGTCAACATACTTTCTCCACGGATCCTCGTGGAGACATTGACGACCAGTCTATATTTAGTAATTAATGATATCATATGTAGTACAGTTGTGTGCTAACAGTAGGTTCAAGACAGTAGTTCACTGGGCCAACACTTTTGGAGAATTTTCTAATCTAAGCCTCCAATATACTTTTTTATTAACTAAGGCCACACCAATTTAATTTGTTGGTTCTCGGATTCGCCTCTTCGTTTTTTTCTGATTTGCAAAAAAAAAAAAATTGATTCTGGTCCTGAATCAACTGAAAAATGCTCATGTTTTGCCCCCAACAGTTGAGGAAAGTCCTTTTCTTCCTAGTTGTTACAGTTTCCCCATCTATCATTGCAGTGGTTTGATTAAAAGTTCAAAATTCAATGTTTAGATTTTAACCCAGCCTTTTGTGTTGACTTCATGGCTCATTCCATAGCATTTAAGCCTATAATAGGATGCCTAGACCTGTTTTTATTTTTATTTTTTTTCGCCCTGTCGCTTCATATTTTTTCTGAAAAAATCTGAGAACCAACAAATTAAATTGGTGTGGCCTAACAGCAATTTTTCCACGATAATCACAAAGTTAGACAAATCAAAGAATCTAGAAATAAAAGTTTTGAAGTTTCTGTTTTGTTTCATCAATGGACATTTAGGTGGGCATTTTACTCTATAATTTTAATTAGATGAAGTAGAAAACAAAGACTTGATAACAGTTTGTTATGACTAAACTACAGTATCATACCTTATAATATTTCAGATTCTAGTTTGACATATGGAAGCTGTATAGGTTGTTAGCATTCAATATCACCATTCCATATCAACCAAATATTACTCCATGTAATACATTTGTAATACTAACATACCATCTCAGTTAATAGTTCAAATTGCAGAGATACTTTTCTCTGAGTGTAAGTGAAAAATCAATGACTGGATACCAGCCAAAGATGTACAGGACATGTTACAGTTCCATACTTACGGCTCCGTCGTAGGTTAGAGCCTCTTTTAAGGACTCGACGTCCTCAAATTCCACATAGCAGAAGCCTGGAGGATGGAGATAATGATGATAATGAGGGAAAAAATGTCTGAGGCGCCAGCCAGGCATAACTTCAGTATTAATTACTGTAGTCAGGAACATGTTTTGCTAAACATACCAGGACTATTTGAGCCTTGTTATCTGTGAAAACTTGGATGGTGACATATTTCCTGTCTTCTATGTACACACTACAAGTCAAACAATACACACAGTCGCACGGTATCAACTATATCAACGATGTCTTACTGTTTATGCCTGCTGCCTTCATTTGCATAACTACTTAGTCTGTATTCCCAATACATGGTTTCATAATATACATGTACGTCATAAAGTCCTAACTTATAACAACTACTATCTGAACCTTACCTTTGAACTTGTCCGTTTCCCTGTCCCGCACTAAACGGACGCTTTTTACCTGTTAACACAGGGAAATCACAAAGATACTTATTGAATAAAAAAAAACAATGACGAATGTGCCTTTACAGACATATACAAAAGTGTGTTTTCTATGCCATGAAACTGGAACTGATGAAATTCAAAGAGGAGTAGTGGTGTAAAGAAAATCCCTCTTTATTGTCACTGATGCTGTCAACATTCTCTAAACTGCAGTAGTCACTTTTGACAACACCTTTCCAACATTGCAAATAAAACAGCTTTGATTCAATTGTCATCATGTTTTTTAAAGAATTCCTGAAGATTAGAGGAACAAAGACTTAAGTTCTAGAGATTTCAAGTATTATTTGTATGGTTCAGGCTTATAGAAATGATGACATGAGGTGATGATCATCTGAAAACATGTATCTTTCTGCTTACTTTTTAAACCTTTGAAGATTTGATCCAGGTTTCAAAAGGAAGGTTTTGAATGTCTTGATCTTTTTTAAGAATTCCAGAAGATTACAGAAACAAATTTTTCTAGAGATTTCAAGTGTTATTTGGTATGGTTAAGGTTATCATAAAACTAAGTTATTATATTATATTTTGGACTTACTTTTAAACCCTTGAAGATTTGATCCAGATCTCCTTGAACCGTTTCGAAAGGAAGGTTGCCGACGAACGCCGTGTACGGTGCCTCTGTGGGAAAAGGGTTGGGTCCCCCGGAGCGACCACCGCCGCCACCACGGCCGCCGCCGCCATAACCCCCGCCGCTGCCGCCTTGTCTGTATCCTCCTCCCCCTCTGCCTCCACCGTATCTGGTAGGGAAACACAAACCAGACACAGAAAAGTCAGTACTACACTACATTTACTAAAAGTAGATTTACCAAGACTTTCCAATATGTCTTGTCTGACTGTTACCTCTTCCCTTATGTCAGTCATGACCTCAACGAAAAGCGGCCTGCAGGCCAATCTGAGTTTTTCGTGATTCCATCCCAACATCTGCTTGAAAATTGTGTGGTAAAAATTTAAGTTTTAAGTTTATGGTGGTGTCAAAAAGGTAAATACTGAAATCCAGTCTAGATGGGGTAATATTTGTGGAAAAGACATCATTGTTTAAACTCTTTTTGAAATAAACATAGAAAAAAAATTGCATACTTCTGTTAAGAGAATAGTTCAACTTATGGTGTTCCTTGTAGAAGAAAAAAGGTCATTCTATATTTTCAAATCTTATCTACCTGCTGTCAGCCTCATTTATTTTATTTTTTTTTTCTAAAAACAGCTCTGTCCAGTTATTAAGCAATGAATGACAAATTTTGGCTAATCATTAGTGGCAGTTCTTTATGGAAAATCTGTGGATACAGTAGACTTTTCTGCTCTGCTTCCACCTTATTTTTTTCACAAAAATTATGAAACAGGGTGTCAAGTTAGATTCTTAGAACCAATTTTATTCCTGAATCCAAACAGACTGAGAGGCTTTTAAACAGCCTTTTGAAGTTCAATCAGTTAATGTTTTTAATCAAATCAAATGTATAATTTGTGTCTTGGTTTCCCGACTGAAACAAAAGCGAGCGCACGGCGGTAGTACTGGCATATCTGAACCTAAGCTCACGTTCGGTGCGACCCCAACAGACAACGACAGACAAATTTTTTTGTGTGCAAAATGGTCCACAAATAAATTCTCTGTGTTCTTTAATTCGGACTCAACAACCATCGTATAATCAGTGCCTTGTCATTGGCTACATTTCGGTTCATTTCTGCTCTTTTGGCTGTTATTTTTTGTTCTTATCCATGCCTTCCACACGCCCAGATTTATAAACGATGAACAAACAGCACATAAAAAACTCTCCCTCCGTCTAACAACGTGCGCGTGGGGTTCGGACAATCCCGGCAACACCGTCATTTTCGCCGGCGATTTCTCGGCGCAGATTCCACCCGACAGCGAAACCGAAGGCATCCCTAGAAAGAGGAGTTTGTAGAGTCGTGTTATCTGGGTGTACCTACCCTCTGTTGTCCGAACGGCGGCCGTAGTTTCCACGAGAATAGCCGCCGTCGTAGTTATCGAAGTCGTAGTCCGCCATGATAGGGGGGAAGAGGCAGTGCGCAGCTGCAGACACCAAACAGAGGCTCCAGCTGATGCTCACCTTTAACCTTTTAAACTAGCTGTCCTCTAAAAACTGCCTTCATATATTGACTTAAAAATGCAATAAAAATTCACAAGTATAGGAAAATTAATCTATAAAATCTACTTTAAAATGTGACTTTTAAAGAAGTTGTCATTATGTATCATTTGTGTTTGTTTTAATGGAAATATAGCGATTGAAATCATGTTAAACTGGGCACTACATACTTCAGACTGCCTTCTTCTCCGAGGCCCCAAGTTAAACATGGCTTCCGTGGATGAGCACATGGCTGATTCTTCGGGATCCAAACTTCACAGACCGATTCGCAAGGAGGTTTTAGATCTTTTCTGGGAGATAGCGGAGCATCAGGACAAGAGGAGGTTGGATGCAGTGAGGGGAATAGTAGCAGAGTTGAAGAAAACTCAGGATGAGCACAAAGCGACTGGGAAGGTGGGTGCCTGTGACTAGTGTGAGGTGGGGGTGGGTACAGGGATGTCCTTACATGTACATACCGGCACTTTCGCGCCTTTACAAAATATGGTGATGCACACTATTTGAGGATGATCCATAGAAAAGAGATAGTAGTAAAGATTAACACATAAAAGTGCTCGAAAACAGACCTAGTATGTACACAGATGATATGGAGATCTATTTTAAGTCATCATCAAAGATATTTGTTGCTCAATACAGAACTTGTGAATAAATTATTTCATAGAAGAATATTAGTCAGATGACAGTTATAAAGCCTTAAAATACAGTGGAGTAATGTTGAAAACTGAATTGCTACAACCACGTCGGTTAAGTAAAAAGGTATCACAGTGCAAATGTTTAACGTTATATGGTGTGACACAGGAAAAGTTTTTGTTACACGATTGTTCAGTTCATGAAAATCCATTCTAATCCCGTGTATTTTCTCTTTTCCCTTCCAGACTGTTCCCCCGTACAGCCCAGAGATTGGCTATGCTCTGACCCGCCTGGTCCACGGTCTCGCCTCCAGCCGCAAGGCGGCCAGGCAGGGATTCTCAACAGCCTTGTGCGAGCTGTTACATGAAGTGCCGGCCATCCCTCTGGAGGATGTACTGCAGCTCATCCAGAAAGACCTTCAGGTGGCCAGGGAGGAGAGAGGGGCCATGTTTGGAGAGGTACGTTACGTGACAGTAAAGGTCCAAAAGATTGAAGTGGTCTTGGAATGACGTTACATATAGAGATACTTGACTCTTGGGTTTGGTATTACTGATCAGGTATTGCCACTGCTGTGGTAAGGTTCAACATGGAGCAAGATCTGGTACTATCGACCGTCTACAGGTGAAAATACAGGTGAGAAAATAAAAGTGTAGATGTAGTTGTGAAAGGCAATGACTGGACTTACGTAGCCTCTACCAGGCCATGAAATGGCAGGAGAAAGGAGAACTTGGCCAAATAGACGGGAGTTGCTCCTTTACTAGGCTTTAGCGGACAATTTAGCAGACTATTTCCAGCTGCTTCTTAAGCCTGCCAGAGGCTAGACTTACCTTTATTTTCCCCTCCACCCCAGCTGTTCGGCTACCTTGCTGTGGTGCAGAGTGGGAGGCTTGCTGACTGCCCGGCAGAGACGGTGGTGTCTGTGTTCACATCTCTCCACAGTCTGAGGAAGCACAAGCCTTACTTACAGCACATAGGTGTTCAGGTAGGTTGGGATAGAAGCTACTGAACCAACTACTGCAGAGACAAATGTGTTACTGTTACCTTAGTGTAACAACCACAGCTATTTTGAAGTAAAATAATGTATAGTATCCAATAGGAAGTATGTTCTTGACACTACAAATGCTTCATTACAAGTCTTCATAATAAAATGGAGCTTAAAAACAGTTTGGCATGTTCTTAACTTTCTAGAATATCTTTGGCAACTTTTATTTTTAACACATTTGTCATTAAAACAAAACGTCAGCTGAATTAAACACTTGGTTGCATAAAAGTCTTTTTTATTTAGTGACTTAACAACCTGCTGAAACTACAATGTATTCAAGGATTCACCTTAAAAAGTCTTTGATAAGATTTCAGAAGCAGGCTTTTGTTGTCATGTATTTTGACATTCATCCGATCGATAGTTTTCTTACATGAATTTTTCACCAGGCCATAGCCCAGATGTTTGATCAGCTGTCAGAAGAGACCTTCACCGTCCACCTGTTCCCCCTCCTCCGGGAGGAGCTACAGAAGGGGTGGAACACCTGCACACCTGAGACTCTGTTCCTCCTGCTCAAGGTACAGGAGAACTTTCCTGGGGTGGTGGACAAGACGTTCCTGAAGAAACACTGGGGATACAGGGACATCTTTCGTAAGGAAAACCTGGAGGCCTTGGGACAGGTAAGAGGTGCTTAGGTGGAGTAAGGGGACTTGTTTTTCAATGATATGAATGAGGTTTCACTCTGGTGTTTGTGTGACAGGCTGAAGAAAAGTTCTAAACAGAAACTACGAGGGATGACTGCGTGTGCGAGATGTCGGTGTAGCTTGAGGAATGAATCACCTCTACTATATAGTTTGGAGTTTGATACTTTGACAAACATTTGTATCAGAAATGATAATCTCCAAAGGTGCCATCAAGATTTCTAGCCTGCTGTGATGAAGTTTCACAATAAATTATTGAAAATTTTAAGAGTTTTGCTTCAAAGCTTTGGCTTGTTTCCACACAGGTAATTATGGCCTCTGCCACTGCCCACCCCAACTTCCACGCCGTCTGTGTTCTAATCCTCACAAGTATCTGTAAAGACAAGGCTCATTTTCCCATCTTCTGGGACAAAATTGTGAACGTCACCCTCTGCACGGCCAGCCACGAGCGAAAACTTCTCGCCTTCAAGTTCTTGGAGCACGCCCTTCCCCTGCTTGACGCTGGACAGATTTCTCAGGCGATGTCTCCCAGTCTGCTGAAGATGCTCATTAACAATCTGGTGTATCCGGACAGTTTTCACTCCGCAGCGGCCAAGCAGCTGTGCCAGTTCCTTGCCAGGTTAGTAGACTGGTTTTATTGTTAAAATCTGCTGGTGTGTTATGCCGAAGGGCGGTTATACCCGTACAGATACAGAAATCAAAGGTAAGTTTGATATTTTATTGGGATATCCATTAGTAGACTGGTTTTATTGTTAGAATCAAAGACAAGTCCGATGGCAGCCTAGAGGCTGAATTGACAAACTCATGTACAAATTGACAAGCTATAACCTATTGATTCGCTCAGAATATCTATGATCATTAAAATCTTGGATTGCAATACAGATAAATACAATACAATGAAGATTACTGGGTGCCTCCCCCAGAAGCGCCAAATTTCAAAAAGTCATTCCACAATTACATCATACAATAAACTCTGACATAGTCATATCTATTTAATAAGAAATACAGCACTGGGTTATTTCAACAAGTAAGATCTTGCTACTTTGAATAGAAAAGAATATTCTCACCTAGAGCATTCGACCAGTCACTGGTCTTCTTCAGTAGACTGACACAGTGAAGCTTGTCACATGGCTTCTCAGATGTGTCACGTCAACACTGCTTGAAAGCTCTAGGTGAGAACAATCTTTTGTAATGGAACAAAATGTGAACCTACAAATTTTTGCTGTACAAATGATGATTTGTTTGACAGGTTTGTGAAGTCGTGCTCCGAGGCTGACAGACAGCTGGCAGTGTTGATGTCCCTGCTGCACAAACCTGGGACGATCCACTTCGACAGCGTCACAAAGACTCAGACCGTAGCTTCCATCGTCAGTGGACTGAACGCCGAGGCCGTGCTGAGATATGCCGAGTGGCTGAAGAAGGTGTTTTTAACAGGGACGGACTCAGACGAAGAGATCAAAGAAGGGAGCATCGAATCTCACAGGAGATGGGCGAGCAACCAGCTTGTTCACGTGGTGAAAAACCCCTCCCTGGTCAGAACTGAGCAGTGGCTGTTGGACACGACAAAGTTTCTGTTTCTCCACGCATTTTTCAAGATTAGAAAACCCATAGCGGGCGACGCGGTTTGCGACAAGTCTCCTGCGTTCGAGCTGTCGCCGGAAAGTACCAAGCTGGCAGCGCAGCACTTCAACAGTGTCCTGTCCACCCTCGGCACCATGCCTAGCTTCAAGCAGGAGGGAGCCAAGCACAGTCTACCCGGAACACGGTCGAACGGTGACTTTTGGGTCTACAGCCTGGTACAGTTTGCCAACAGCCTTCTCAGCGACCAAGACCGTTTCCAGCCCCTCGTACAGTTCCCTGAAGAGTTGATGGAATCGTGGAGCGAAATGTTGTCGAACGTTGAAGCCATGAGGAAGAAAGCGGCGAAGGGGTGCAAGGTGTCGGAGAGTTTCCAACTCCTGACCCTGAACCTGGGGATTCAGATGTTCACAGATGCGGATCAGGTGGAGGAGGTTCTGTCTGAGCTACATACTTGCTACGAGAAGGCCACAGAGAAGAGGAGAAAATCACTCAAGAAGGGAGAAGAAGGTATGATATACACATACTAGTACTCTACTATGAATCTTCTACCCATATATGTGGTTGTAGTATATTTGACAGAAGTGTCATTTTACTTTCTGAGCATCAAGGATAAAGCATCACTCAACCACACAATGAGGTTGTTGTTGCCTTGTGAAGTACAAAGTTTTTATCAGTGTTTGTTATCAACAATGAGAAAACAATTTTACCACTAATCAATGAACCCACATATCAAACTACGTAGAAGAAGTGGGTCTTTCATTGATACAAAAGAAGCCAAAGTTAACCCAGGAAAACTACAAATAGTATAACGTTAGACATAGTCTGTTATATCACTGTACATGTATTTTCTTTATTAATATCATACATATTGTCTGTACTTGAAACTAGCCCTCGGACATGTATTTGCAATAATCTTTACATTACCATATTCCAGATGAGCCCCACTGGGTGGAGGTGGTAGTTGAGATCCTGCTGAGCCTGCTGTCGCGCCCCTCCCACCTGCTTCGGTCGGTCGTGGATAACGTGTTCCGCGTGGTCTGCCCGCAGATCACCAGGAAAGGTCTGCAGCTGATCCTGGACGTGCTGGATCCAGGGAGGGAGGAGGAGGGGGAGGGTCATGTCATGGTGGAGGTTTGTGTGACTTTATTTACACAACAATTAGGATTTTACCATGGTCAGTACTGACCGAAGGCCATGTATTTAGGTAAACTTCAGTGAGAGATTCCTCAGAGAATAGATGAAAAGCTGATCTAAAATTGTTTGGTGATAAAATGCATGCACAAATAGCAGCAAAAAGGATAGTGCGAAAACTGCATTCTCTGTTGACCCCAAAAATTGCAGCAACCTGTGTGCACAACTCCTTGTCTGTAATGTACACTGTTAAAAGATACCACCACATATTTTGATCAAAGCTGACAAGAGATGATGATCAACCCTTCAACTTCATCTGTGGCTAAACAGTTCTGTACACGAATGACAGTCTCTGGCACATAGGGCGCATTTTTAACTTAGTGTGAGCTGACTTGAAGGTCTGTTGTAGAGTTTAATCAAAATTTAATAGATAAGCGTGTATTCTCTGATCTAGGACTTTGATGAAGATGAAGAAGAGATGGGAGATGAGGAAGATGAAGAGTTAGGGGAAGGAGAGAAGAAAGAGCTGAAGCCCAACGGAGACCTGGGGAGTGAAGAGGAGTCTGATAGTGATGATGAAGAGGAGGAGGAAGAGGGCCCAAATGTTGACGAGGAGTTTAAAGCTAAGATTAAGGTTGGTACTCTTTGTATTCTTTGAAAATTAATAACAGTAACTAGCAATAATTAATGCAACAGAAAAGAGAGGTACATGAACTGCTTAGAGGGTCCAATTCTGTATGCCTGAAGCCTGCAGTATTAACCGTGTCCTTTTAGAAGCTTCCAGGTTTTCATGGTGCAGTTCCTTCTCCCCCCACTAGGAGGCGCTTGGGAAGGCTGCTGCACCACACGATGATGATGACGACGATGCATCTTCCACGGCCAGCGATGAAAGCAATCTCAGCGACTCAGCCATGATGAAACTCGACGAATCCCTCTCCAAGATCTTCCGCGCTCAACGAAAATCCGCCAAAGCCACCAAGAAGGAGGCAAAGAGGCTCATGACGGACTTTAAACAGAGAGTCACGGACCTGTTGGACATCTTCCTCCGTAAGCAGCCGTCTAACCCTCTCGTTCTAGAACTGGTGGAACCGCTTCTGAGGATCGTACAAGACTCCCTGCGGAAGAGCGAGGAACACAGCCTTGCTGAGAAGGTCGCAGGTACACATGTAGTATCAATCAATAGTTTGTGCTTATAAACCTGCAATTGTCCTGCAGTCTCTTAGTGTCACTGTCGAAATGTAGTGGATGCTACCTTAAACGTCTGACTGTTTCCAAAATCATATCCAGTGACTGTTTTTTGGCATATCTTATTACCTGGATGTCTAACCTTCACCAACACATGTAGTATTGTTTTGTAAATTACCTTTGATCACCATTGTTCTTATTTCTAATGTTGAATAAGCAAGTTTTAACACTGTATGCTTAATGATCACAAACGTAAATGTATACTCATTTTATAGACTGATACCTCTGTAAATAGCCTCACAATTCATCCCTCCACGGCTGCCAGGAGACATGTATATCTGTTGCTAAAAATAATAAACCAGTCTATTACTACTACAGGTCTCTACCGGAACAAGCTGTGTAAGATTAAGGAGTATCCCGTGTTGGAGAGACCGGATAGCGAGGGACTGCATGCAGTGTTGAGTAACATTGTACAGGTGGCATACATGGCCCCATCTGTCTACCTGGTCTCACTGGTGTCAGGTGAGTAAAGGGGAGTTTTGTTGTTAATTTTTGTAAAGAAATTACCTGTTATTGAATTCTTGAGAACTTGACAGGATAAGACAGATAATTCCATTCATTCCTAAGAGAGATTTACTTTACCAAGCCTCCTGAAAGATACCAAATAGCATAGGAGGTTGGTAAACGATTTCTTCAGGTTAGTGAATGATTGAGTAGCAAAGTTCTTTATTCACAACCACTTATTAATTAAACAAGAGCTAACGTTTTGATGACCATCTGTCATCTTCATCAGCCAGGGCTAATATGACTGCTTAACTGCACTGAAGCTAGGTCTTACTGTGTTACTGCTAGCAGTCCTGAATGTAAAGTAATTCTGACATACCTTCATGTAGGAGGTTGGTTGATTGTATTCAGGAATAATAAAATCTTGTATAGCATGTGATTGTTTGCTTGCTTGTTTCCTTGTGTAGCTGGGTGCCTGTTCCTGCTGCGAGTGTTGAGAGGGAAGACATCCCCTGCGGAACCCTCGCCTGTCAAGACCAGGGCCAAGAGGAAGAAGGAGAAGCAGACAGAAGACAAGTCGTCAGCCTCAGAGGACCCAGACTTAAAGACTGGTGAGGGACATGTTTTAAAATGTTTACTATAAGTTTGCCTCAGAGATATAAACCGATTTGATTTCTGATATTGTCTCCTTGTAGTATGTAGCATGTGTAGTCCAGTGGTTAGCAACACTTCCTGCGGACAAAGAGATTGGGACTTCTAATCCCAGCTGTTGTCGCTCACTTGACATACTAATGTAAAGGGTTGCAGTCTTCAGGACAGGATGTCAGACTGTGGTCCACTGTTAAGTGTGCTTGTCAAAAAGAGCTAGTACTATAGAGGAATTTCCCCGGTATAATGAACCTGTAAATACTGTACATAGCATCTGTCTTCTCTGTCACAACCAGTGGGAGATAAGCTCTGTAGTCAGCTAAAACTGGATTGAGATCACATTTCTTTCCTGCCCTTGGCCCTTCCACATTTCTACTCCAGAACTTTTCTCAGATGTTAATAACTTCCAACTTGGGTCTTTTCCCTGTCCCACAGGCCACATTGATGTACAGAAGGTAGTTGAGCTGTACAGCAGTGCCCTGCAGAAGTTCATGAAAAAATGTGCCAAGGAATTCCTGTAACGTCTTGTACATCTTGAGTCCTTTTATCAGTAGTTTAAATTGTTTGTGAATCTCAACAGCATCCCTAACAATGACATTCTCTACCCCATAGGCCACATAGATGTACAGAAGGTAGTGGAACTGTACAGCAGTGCTCTGCAGATCTTCATGAGAAAATGTGCCAAGGAAACGTTTTTTTAATCTTGTCAGTAAAATTCAACCCTTACAATGATGTTCTTTAATATCCTGTAGGCTACATAGATGTACAGAAGGTAGTGGAGCTGTACAGGAGTGCCCTGGAGAACTTCATGACACGGCGTGACAGCCACATCCACGCCGTGCTGTTTGAGGACCTGGTGCAGCATTTCCCTGTTCTCGGCTGGGAGCTGGCTGAACCTCTCACTGGATACATCACCACTGGAGTACAGGTAGAATACTAGTATCAAAGTTTTTATATTCACAGCCACTTGTTTAACAAATGATTGTCATCTTCATCAGTGCAATAATTTGGCAATTTTGACTGGTTCAAATATTGACAGTCATTGAAACATCAGCTCTTGTTCAACAGGAATTTTGATACTCACCAACCTGTTGAAAGTATTCACATACACATTTTTTTGTATCAATAACTTGTAGAAAATGTTAGGAGCAAGGGAAGTAACAGAATTACAGTAGCAATTTATTGGACTGCAAAAAGTGTACATTATGCAACTTTGGTGTTGATTACAGACTTTGTTCTTTGTATGAAGAATTTTGGTCTTGAATTCCTTCCCTTTTTTTGCTCCTCTCAATCCTTTAAATTCTTGGATGTGGTAAAGTCCATTTTGGAATATTCAACATGAAATATGAGATCCCCCTGAATAAAGAGACCTTTTACCTTCCTCAGGGCAATTCTGACTGGTTCACATTGGACAGCACAGGTGTTACTGCAATAGATGCGTTTTACATATCTACATGGTTACAGGGAACAGTATCCACAAAAATCTACAATGAGGTCCTAAATGTTGGCTGAATGGTTGGCTCTTTGTTGTGTAAAAAGAATATCTTTATTCAATTGCATACCAACAGGATGACCATTCATGAAAATGTTATCCTGTTCCCAGATCTACCGCCGTACGCAGGCCTGCCACCTCCTCCTCAGACTAATGAACACCCACCAGAAGCCGGCCGACCCTCGGCTGTGGGCCTCGTTCGTCTCAGGTCTGTCCGAGAAGGTAGGAGAGGTCCTGCACGGGGTCAGTCAGGGGGTCACCGAGGCCAAGCCCAAGTTCCTGCAGGAAGTGCTGAGGACCCTACAGGCACTGATTAAAGCTGTGGAGGGCGACTGTAAGGTGAGGACCCCTTTGTGAACTCGGATGTACATGTACTTTGTTGCATTCCTTGTACTTGTAGATGCTAAACTGGGTGAGTGTTAGTGTAGAACTAGGAGGGTAGCAGAGGAAACTTTGGCATTCTAGTCTAAATTCAGAAAGATAGTAGTGTACATATCTAAGGTAAAGACAAATGCTGTAATGTACCGGGCATTTTGGTTCTCTTGTTTCAACTCCCTTGTTGTATCAAGTGGTTGCATTTGACAGTATTTGAGAGAACAATCATTGGCATTCTTGCTTGAAACTAGCCTGGGTGCCATCATCTGTGGTAACCAGTGACATTAGGGAGCCAGCAGAAAGCACGGACGATGGCACCCAGGGTAGCTTTAAACTGCTGATTTGTATGGTCTACAATATGTAATTCCAATATCTGATACTGCATATGAATCCATGATCACTCATTGCAATGTCTTTTGGCTCCCCAGATGTTGAATGCCCAACTTGTGGATGCTGTAGAACACTTCAGCCAACAGGAGGTGGCCACACGGTCCAGCGTCATCACAGGACTCTGCAAGAACTGTCTTAAACTCATGGGGCACAGGTAAGGACACTCTCACAACTGTACATAGTTTTCCCTTTTTCAAAAATAAAAATAAAGAAGTTTGGGTGTTTGCCTTGGAACTAAGGCTTAAACTTTGTAACTATGGATTCTACAAACACAGATGAGCTTTCATTGAAATAAGAGGTAAAGAAGTCATCCTCCACTGAGGTGAAGCATATTGCTTTTTCAAGTAATTTAATTAAACATGTAGCTACTAGAGCTTTTAGAGCCAAGCACACTTGGTCACTCCTACTCTTCTTGATGTAAGGTTTTCTTTTCCCTTTTACACTGATATTATTTATACACAGATTATGGACAAGTATGACTTAGAAGATATTTCTTGATGTTAACTGGTTTGATTTCTCACTTTCAGCACGAATCTACCAACTAGTAAGAAGGCGAAGAAGAGGAAGTCATCAGACAGACAGGCCCCAGAAGACCAACCAGAAGAGACCCCTAGCAAGAAGACTAAGAACTCCAAGCAGAGGGAGGAACGCACAACTGACAAAGACAACCTTTCTATCACTGTCAACAATAATGGACATGGACATGCTGACGCAATGAAACAGAAGAAGCATAAAAGAAAACATGACCAGTCAAACAAAGAGACTAAAGAAGCGAACAAGACAGTACAACAAAATCTTACATCTTCTAATGTAGGGCAAAACTTAGAGAACAAAGCATCTAAGAAAAAGCAGAAATTTACCAAAGTTAGAAACAAGCCCCAAAGTGTGACAGGTAACTAATTTATCAGATGTAAAGATATGTAAAGATGTTATGTTTGCAATTCTTTGTTGCAATCATTGCAAATTTGTAACACTGCAGGGACTGTGTTTGTTAGATCTTTGTTACTTAAAATGAACTCTTACTTATGAAATCTTTGCAAACGTTATCAACTTTGGTTTATGAAGCAAGTCAGTATTTATCACTGTATCTTTTGTTTTAAAGTTGTTTGAGATGATTAGGCTATGTTTCAGGGTATTACTCTGTGAAAGACAGAATAGTTAGTCATACTGTAATATAGTAAACAAAACAAAAAGAATTTTATAAACTGTGTAGCTAATCCAATATTATTGTTTCTTATTACAGTAAAATCTATTTTGTAATGATTTATAGACGAATCTTGTTCAGAATTCAGAAAAGAATTGACCACATAATTGTTGAACAACTTTATTGTTAGTATTCTTAAATACTATCCTCTGAAAATGTGACAAAAAAGAAATAACAGCTGAATAGTAGTCATCAAACTACATCAATAAGATATACAGTATGGAGAAAAAGGATGTTCACTGTAACACCTTCTGGTTTATAAAAAAAATTGATCTCTTAATCCAGATGTCTGGTCTGAGTTTTTATTTGAAGAACAAACACTGTATGACAGCTGTTTTCCCATCCTTTCAGAAGCTTTCTTAGTAATGATAAAGGGATGTACATTGTAGATACAAGATGATCTTGTTCCCAGGATATCAGCTCTCCTCCCCAGGGAATCCACTGTCTACTGCGTCATCATCATCATCAGGCAACTCCTATGGAAAAGGAGATAATCATGTCACTGACACTCTAACCCACAGGGGTACTGACATTTGCTGTAACCAAGAACCACAGGACAGGCTGAGTCAAATTATAATGGCGAGCTACGATCGAGACCCAGCATCAGAGTGTAAGCATGTCTAACCCTTGATTATGGGGAACAACAGACAACTAGAAAGGCCAACATTTGCTTTGGAGCAAATACAGCAATGGCTTCACCACATTTTACGACATGGCAGGGAAAGAATGAGAAACACAAGGGAAAACAATGCTTTACATTGATATAACTATAGTATGAAGTAACATACAACTAACACTACAACAGTTGGATAGCTATTCCCTACATTATTGGTTAGGATTTTTAATTGCATAATGCAAACTCTTGATTTTCAAGAAAAAAAGAAGCGTTCATGCCCCGCATTCCAATGCTGGAGCAGGAAAGCTTAAAATACCTACCAAAACACTTGAACACAGACCTACTGTCAGTATGGAATGGCTCTGTGCAGGTATTAATTAAGTTAAGCCTGTTAAATTCCAACAGCCAATCAGCAAGGAGAATAGAGGAAAGCTGCATGCCTATTGGTTGATGCCCTGCATTCCATTGTGATGACTCATGCCCAAATGTGGTAACACTGCACACTAACTCAGTAATACATTTGCTATAACACAGCCAAAAAACTCAAATAAAACCATTCTAAAAGCCTGTATCACAAAAATTAAAAAAACGCCTGGGGGTATTCGCCTACTGTACTTCCATACCAAATTTCAGGTCCTTAGGCCCCAAAATGAAGAAGCTGAATCCATTTAAAGAAATGGCAGGAGGAGAAGGAGGAGAATCATGAGAAAAAGCAATATGGTTTCACCACTTTGTGGTGAACCCATAATAAACCGGAGAGAGAGAGATTTCTTAAGTGCAGCCTAGTATAATTTTTACCACATAAAAGCGAGTCACCTTGGGGTGAAAACTGTTCTGCTACCCTAAAGTGTGACATACCGGTGCTTCCCTGGGCTCCAGGTCCTCCCCATACTGAATGGAACAGTCGATGGTGTTCAGTACAACATCTATGGAGTCCTCGTCTGATCTGTTCAAAGGGAGGAACTGGACCAGGCTGAAGTCATCCACCTGGAAATAAGACAACAACAAAACTGCTGAAATGGAACAATAAAGGACGCTGTATGCTTTTACTTGTAGCTGATACTCTGAAGTCAACGCACATATTCCAAACAAATGCAACATACAAAACCAAAAGTATGAAAAGCAGAATTACTTACCACACTCCCCAGTGCCTTTGTCAGCTTCTGGAATTTTTTGTCAAAATATCCTTCCCTGCCATCAGCCAGGATGCCTCTGATGTCTGGATCAAGATATCTGCAAGGACATGGTACCTTTGTTAAGTAAAGATCATGTGTAGAGTGACTGATTGCTTAACAATCGAATTTCATCAGTGCCCTACTCTTTACAAAATTAATTACTTTGATCGAGCTTCTGCTTGCACCAAGCATGATAACGTAATTCCACTTCACTTTGTTCTCCATTAGAAATTACTGATCCAAAACTTGTTAACATGCTGAAAACATTCTGCATGGGTGAAACAGGAACTTGGTAAAACAGTTGGTCACCCCAATGACATGAGGATATCTCACCTTTCTACTCCAGTACTGTTTTACAACTTAACTGATGCAAAACTTCTTACACACTAACATTCAATAACATGCTTGAAACATTCTGCAAGGGGGAAACACGAACTTTGTAAAACTGTCCTTCACCCCAATGATATGAAGTCATGATGAAGATATCTCACCTTTCTATCTCTTTCTTTGTCTTCTTGCTGAGGAGATCCATCTTGGTCATGACATTGATGTGTGGAACCTCCAAGGTCACCATGGCTGACAGGGCAGACAGCGCGCCAGACAGGAACTTGGAAGGATCTAAAAAGGAAACAAAAGGAAAGTGATCGTGATCCAGTTTTAGCTCACTGAAGAGCTAATCTACCACTGGTTGAGACGCTATGTATTTACAGGTTCATTGTACCAGGAAAATTCACCTAAGTCTTTTTGACAACCACAATGAACAGTGGACCACAGCTTAATGTCCTGTCCTAAGGATTACAATCCTTTCCAGTACCGTGAATGTTGGGTGAGCAACAACAGCTGGGATTCAAACTCCCAACTTCTTGGTCCAGGATTGCTATCCACTGGACTACACACACCACAATAATGCTACCACAGCTTAGCCATTGTCCCATCCTAAAAGACTTTGAGACTGTGACCCTTTCTTAGGATTACTTAGCATGGAATATAGGCTTATGAGGCATATAAAAAGTCCCAACTCATAATTAAACAGTGTTATTGAATGTGTAAAAGAAACTGCAGGAGCTAAGGGACGTTACAAGACACAAGACACAATGGAAGAAAATGAAGAATGACTGAATGCGGCTGCAGGACTTTCCCAAGACTGTTAGTGTAGATTCAAAACACAGTAGAAGAGAGAATGAAGGTGTACGTACCAACCATGAACTGTGAGTCAATGAGGAACACCCCACAGACCCTGAAGTCCCAGTGCTGTAACGTGTCCACTAACTTTCTCATCACAGGGATGTGTGTGTACAGCTCTATCTGACCTGAAATGGCATAGGGAAGAGTTTAATAATCTCCAAGCAGATTCTGTGTGGGGCAAGGGGAGTCTACATTTGTATGCTGGCCTCCTGTAACCATTGGCATGGGGCAGCCTTCTGTTGAACTCCTGTTAGTCAGCTTGTCAACTTCACACGTGCTGTCCACTTTGAACAAACAACCACACAGCTCAGCCAACAACAAAAAAAAAAACACTCAGAAGTAATTTGACTGCAACACATTCTCAACAATAAATTTGTTGTGTACATGTTTCTGGATGGTCATATGAGACTGGCCTTACCTGGGCAGTCAAACAGAAAGTAGTCATCCTCCCCTTCTCCCAGCTCCTCTTCTAACCAATCAAAGTTCTGGATGAAATACCTGGTGAGATTCAAAGGGAAAGTCATTGGAACCATACATGTTTTCAATCATCATATAAAAAATGTAATAGCTATTCCCAGTCAATGGGTAAAGGGCAGTCAGGAGAGGTATTGATTGTTAATACGAGTGATCCTGGTAATACACGTCACGTGTACATGCATTTTGTTGGCTTGCAATGCATGGAACTTTGCATTAGATTTTATAAAATATTGAGTCGAGTAGAGTACAATCTTTCCAGTTGGGACCGCTGCTTTTTACTTCTTGTCTAGCCGATTGTTTGAGATAAGATCTCGTACAACTTACTCCATACAGAAGACGAGGCCTCCGTTTGGTCCGAATCTGAGAGAGTCGTCCTCCATCACATCATCCACACTGATCAGTTCACGGATGTCTGAACACAAAACAAACACAGTATTGGGACAGTCACAGAAACTTGGATAACAAAAGTCATGATAAAATCCAACAGAGACAAACTGACTGATTTTAAATTATGTTGATGACAGTGTATATGGATAGTCTTTTTGTATCTGAATAGCTGGTTTAACACTAATAACAGCATAACACACCAGCTTCGCAGGCACGCTGTGCAACAGCAGGTGGTTATATTACACCAAATGCCTTGTTTTTCCTAGCCTTTGCACATCTAACTCTTAACACTGTTAAAAGCTGTTTAGTGATGATGCCCCAACTGTACTTGATGGCAGGGAATGTGTTAACCATTGTGAATTCATAGATATAGCTCTTTACCTGCCATGACCGGATAATCAAAGTATTCAGCTGCAGGGTCCAGGTTCACAACACGCACGCTTCTCCTCAGCGCCTCACAGTGCTTCACGATGGTACTGCAGTAAGTGCTCTGAAAAAAAGTAGTGTTGCAGTTTTCTTTTTGCATTCAAATGAATAGTGTTATGCAACGTCTTGGCAAAATAAGTTGGATTTTTCTGGTAGCTACTAGAGCTGGAAATACTCAATTTGCGCCGAAATAAAATAAAGTAATTTTAGTGCCCCGGTTGGACACAAAAATGTTATAATTTCTTACCTTCCCGCTGCCGGCAGGACCCATCACAAGCTGGGCGTATCGCATCCTGCTGCCGGATTCTGACACCTGGCCTGTATGACTGGTTCAACTCCAGGTCCTTCTCACAGATGTCTTCTTCCTAGGAATTTCAAGAGTGTTTGATGAAGATGATGATGATGAGAAATTATTAGGTAAGTCCTGAACTCTCACGTTTAAAAGTGTGATGAATCCTACGGTGGTCGTTGAGGAGAATTTCACCCTTATGTTGGCCTTGTGTTGGAATAAATTTCAGCATTGTACTAAGTTATTAGTCGAGAGCTGTAGTCGATTTACATTACATTTTATAACTTATAAGGTACATGCATATGTATCCACACGTGGTGAAATATGCAGGTTTCGGAAGTTCAAGCGAAGAAAACCTACCTTTGTCTGCATACAAAGTCAGTAAAATTCAGCGTATCTTTGCTCCAGAGTGTTATGACCGAGTTACACACCGGGACATGTTCGAAACGGTGAGTAAATGTACGGAAATCTAAAAATTATCTGCCAAAACGTTTTGTTTTCATCCCAGCGCGGCCATTTTGAACCAAATGACGTAGTGGCCCATTACATTATCTATTTGGGGGGTGTTATGTTTTGCTTGGTATGAAATAAATGTGAAGATATCAAAGTGATATTAGCATAGACTTTAGTTTTTTATCTAAAAATATATATATTTGTTTGGGTAAAAGCTACCATGATGTTTAGCAGTTCCTAACGAGCACAAATAATATTTTTAAAGGTTCCTCAAAACTCCCCTACAAAATATTGAACTAGATAGTAATATTAGCGGTTGCTAATATAGACAGGTTTGCGTTGTACATAGTCATTGTAGTGTAACTTACAATATGTTTTTTGTGTGTGCTTTACCTTTTACAGGGTTCCTTCTCATCCTTTTCTAATCCCCACTTACCTTGTAAACAATTTCGTCATCAATATACTAACAAAAGAACAATAGTTACACCCAAAACAAAATTTCACTTCTTTATGACTTCTCTATGCCCCATGGCGTCAAGGCCGCACAACACAGTATTCATGGGCGAACCCCGTAGTCAAAAGTAGTCCGAGCACAAAGTAGTGCTGCACAAATGTACTAGAGAAGGGTGCAGAGATTGTTTTGTGCATGGCATCGAGATAGAACCTGTGGTAAATGTTAGAGGAATACGTCAGTTTTGAGACTGTAAAAGTTGAATTATGGTGCGTGTTCAGTCGGCGTAGATTTGCGCTTGGATACTTGTCCCGCCTAGTACTGTGCCTCGGCTGCAGTTCCATGACCTCCGCAGTGGCGCTAATAAAAGAGGGCATGAGAAAAGAACTAGCCGGCAAATCTAAGCTCTTTTTCACATATTTTGTACACTATACCCTGCAATTAAACATATTAAAAATCTGAACCTTGCTTGTGCACCCTACTATGATTTTCAGTGAGTCGAAGTGAGTCACTTTGGGGTCCTTAACTATAGAAATCCCCATAGGGCTAATACTGTGTTGTGCCGCCTCAACAGCGCCCTCCCCACGCCCTGCCCACCTACCTACCTACCTACCTACCTACCTACCGAACTACCTACCTACCTACCTACTTACCTACCGAACTACCTACCTACCTACCCTCGCAAATGCAAGGTGATGTTTCTGCACTTCTCAAAAACTGTGCCACCACTACCCTCACTAAAAATTGACAACTACCCCCTAGTACAAGTTCAAGTAGCTAAACTCCTGGGGCTCCATATACAAGCTGACCTAAAATGAAACACCCAGGTGGACCACATGGCCAAGAAAGGAAGCCAGAGGCTTTTCTTCTTGAGAAGACTCAAATCTTTCGGAGTTACTAGAGAAGATCTTGTCACCATATATACAAGTTTTGTCCGACCCACTTGTGAGTACGCTGTCCCAGTTTGGCAACCAGCCATTACACAGTCCCAAAGACGTCAACTGGAAAGAATACAGCGAAGGGCTTTTCGAATCATCCTTGGGCCTGACTACACAACCTATACTGACGCTTGCAAAACGCTATGCCTCATGACACTACAGCAAAGACGTGAACACCTTTGTCAGACATTCGCAAGAAGACTACTACAGTCTGAGTCCTACCGGAATTGGCTACCCCCCTTCCGGGGAGACGTCAGTGGTAGAAGAACAAGAAACAGCAGCCTATTGGACACTATTAAAACACGAACTAATCGTTACAGGAATAGTCCCATACCCTATCTTGTAACACTCTTCAACAATAATGCAACCAGTATTTGCAGTTTCGATTCAAATATGTTGTAATGCACATATGTTAAGTTTGGGAGAAGAAATTCATTAGATTTTAATTCTTATGTAAAGATCTTTACCTGACCTGAATTATCACCTTGAACGTATTAGATTTTGACGTATGGTCTCAACCATTGCATGATACGAGAATTCATCAATAATTGGAGATTATTTTCTCATAATATGTTTTTTTACAACGGCCCTGACTGGAATGTTTCAATGATTGCTAATATTAAATTTCTAGTCCCCCAAAATAGTTCAACCAGCACTATGCAATGCCGAACTAATATGTTTGAATATACACATTTATGACAAGTCATCAATAATAATGTATTAATAATAGGCTTATTGAAATCTGTATGCACGATATGTATTTAACCTCTGACAATGTCTACTCAGAGGTTATCTTTTAATCTGTTAATTTGTAGATTGTATTTT